GGATAGATTTCTATTTTGGTCTCACCCGAAACAAGGATGTTCACTCCAGGGTTGTGTAGGATACTGTTTAATTGAATCATAGGAGAGTAACCCTGTGGAACTCACAAAGTCCCAATCCTTCGCTGTGTGCCAAGTGGCTTTTTTTGATTTTGGTACTGGACAGAGCTTCAGACGGTGACGTTTTCTGGATTGAGGTCTAAACTATATTGATGAAGGGACAACGCAGTTTCGTGCTGTAACCGATTTATGTCAGCATTCGATCCTGCTATCAGCACGATGTCATCAGCAAACGCCACGACTTTGATTCGAGAACTGTCTTTCTACTGGTGTCCGATCTCTTCCAACGGCTGTTCTTCTGTTTGGCACTCACCTTTAAGAGAGTCATAGTTACTCAAGCCGTTTATCCGCACTTCATTCAATTTCTTCACCTTGACCTTCAGAAATCACATTTTGTCAACACCGGTCGACGGCCATCACAATGCTTTGTCAGAATCCACTTGTCCGTGCCAGTTGTAAGTTATCCTTTCAACGCCGAAGGAAATGCACAAGTCTCATATCGAGCCATCAGCTGCCACGGTCCATGCATCGGTCGCGCGTCCCGATCGATCTGAGGTTCCAACTCGCGCCAGAACCCTCGATCAAACCAGAAACACGTTCACATGTTACAGATGTGATTTGCCGACTTCCCTTACTTACATTATTCAATCGACAAGAGGCAATGCACCTTGGAGACCTGCTGTGGATATGAGTACGACCGAGCATGAGAATTTTTGCCTTCCTCAAATTTTTATGAACCGACGACAGCGTTCCGTACGCCTCGGCAGACGTGACGCTTTGCGGGAACAACGACCCTATCTCCGAATGAACCGTTTCTAGGGTGTCCGACCGTTGAAAAGAAAAGAAAACTCTTCCCGGAACTATCGCCGGCCATTCATTGAGTGCGCTTGCGTCACCGCACTTTGTCTCGCCGCTAACGACTGGCGATTCTCCATGTCTCGGTTCCGGAATATTAACCGGATTCCCTTTCGATCAGTGGTGGCATATTCATATAGTCAACGCTTCGCACCCACGTTCCGTGCTAGTACCCTTATTGCACTCTCCGTCGTCTTCTACTCAGGCCATTCACCACTCACTCGCATGTCAAATTCCGTTTGATAATTTCCATTAAGTCGATACACCGACGTGTAATATCAATTAATCCACGTCTCCTGCTTAATACCGCATTTTATGATAAGTAAACGCATAGCCGTAGTGAGAAAATATTCACGACCCTGAAGAACAGTTAGTGGAAACGATCACCAAACGTCCAAGCATACGCATAAATTGCACATCAGCCAAACACACTGCAAGCTTCTTCGTCCGGAATGAAAGGTCAGGCCCATATTAACTCCCGAAGAAAATATGGCCTAGATTTCAGCAGAATTTTCTTCCAATCCTCCTCCTTCGTATCTTTTTGCATTAGATATGACGCCGACACCATATCTGAATTGAATAAATGAACGCACACCTCTCGGTGTCATGTCAGGTGCAACCAGATCTTCCCATCTTGTTAATGATTTTCCTTGCGGTCGCTTACCATAAAGCTTTGTGTTCAATACCCTCTTTGCAAAGCAGCCATTATTAGCGCCTTTCCTGCTGCCCAGGGTTCATTTTGGTTGGATGTCCTATCCTTTTTATTTCGACAACATTTGACAGCAGATAGCACCATTTCACTCCTAATATTGAACTTAAAATCTTCATTTCAGCCCTTTGTCAACTTTATTGATGCTTCCATCTCCATATCATAGAGCAAGATATTCAGGATACAGGAATGAATATCCACAGCTTTGTGCCATGGCCGGCCTCTTTGTCCACCCAAAGCTAGCTTATCTTGTTGCCGACTGTAGATTCCGACAATATAGCGCCGGTTGGCATCGTCTGTCATGTTCTTTTACAGTCAAAGTTCTTCCATAGCATTGATATTCTGGTATCTTTCAGCAGCTTCATCGTTGTCAAGAATAACACTGCTGTTGATACGGTTTGTACCTATTTCCATCCACCCGGTCTTTAAACTGAAGGAAAAAATCGCAATTCAGGAGACCAGTTTTTCAGAGGTACGAACAATGTTGTCAAATCCTTAAAACTATCCGTCAAAAAACAGCATCGTCTGCAAATGTAAAAGTTCATGCAGAGCAGTCACTCACTCTTGCTGCATTCGTACCTTAACAATTTTGTATTGGTTGCAGAATTTGGTCAAGGAATACTGTAAGCAATAGAAGGGACTTCACCACGCACGCTTGCGTTGACCTTCGTAGAGAAAGAACTGGCTCAACTTATCATTAACTCGCAGAGCACCTGAGGAAATATAGCACATCATTATAATTACGCAAATAATTTTTGAGCAATTTCTTACTGTGCATCAACTTCCCACGGGTCTCTAAGGAAAAGAGGATGAGGGCTTTGGTTAAGTCAAGTTAAATTCAAGTTTATTAGTTTATGCAACGATTGTCGCTATCAACATAAGAGAATCCGTCATTCTAGCATTAAACAGGTACGTTACATGCATATACGCAGAAGGTTAATGGCAAGTCAAAACATTATCTACAAGTAATTGTTCTTGTTACTCTGGCTGTCTCAGAGTCCTTGCCAGAAAATGTAGAATGGAATGGATTGCCGGTACAGATCAATGAAAATGGTCTATGTCATCAACAAGGTAAGGAAATCTAGCAAGTATCTCTGCATATTACGCTTGCTTTGAGCCCTTTTTGATTTAAGGTGACGATTTACAAGTTGCGGTATTATGTCAATTATAACTTATTCTACTCCAGAATATTCTAGAGTCTTAACAGGAGTTGATTTTCCACTCCTCTAGAAATTCATTATTGCAAAAGCGCAATCTGGAGGATTACATGTCTCTTAGCCAGTGCCATTGTACTGACCGCTTATGACAGTTCTGTCTCCTTCGCTGAAAGAATATTGAAAGATAGCACGCAGCCATTTTTTGCAGATTTAACAGCTGTTACTCTCAGAGTACCGCTTCAAGAAGAACTTTTATAATCTCAAAAACAAGAAATGAGCAGTACAGAAAATCAATGATACCGCGCTTAATTCCTGCCCGCATGAATCCTCTTGTCTTTGAGTATCGTTTCTTTCATTCCATAAGTATTCCGTCAAAACTGTCTTGCTGTTGCATGCTGCATGAATGCAGGTGCTGAAAGCAGAAAGAAGGAGCTTCCTGAATAGCATTAATAAATGCAAAATACTGAAAATATCAAAGAATGTTGTTCCCTGTTCTCTTTTATTCTCCATTACTTGGTCCTTGATGCAGGAATTCTCAGTTCCTGAAACCGGACTGCTCTTCATCCAAAATCTTCTCCAAAAATTGCCTAGTCCTGTTCACAACAATACGCATGTATACTTAAAAGGTTCTCTGCGGAATGATTGTATAGAATTCTCTGTAGTGACGAATAACTCATCAGAAGGACAAAAGGGTTGGCGCCTATTCTCTGAGCTCAACTGTAAATCCTAACAGAAGCACTAGTGCTGACTATTGGCTAATAGATAAATCACTTCAATGACGGCCGCATAGAAACGAACTGATATAAGCCGCTGTTAAGTAGCAGAACTGGACTCCTGTCATCAAGCGGAAATCCCACTAAAAATTGATAAAATAATCTGTTGATAGCATTCGGTTATATTTACTCAAATAACTTAATAAATAAATATCATCTCCCGCATAAAGAAATCATGTATGATTTTTAATAAATAAATAGTAATAAATCACTCCAGATGAAGTTTTTGGTCGTTTAGTTGTAGGATCTTTAAAGCGATCTGAAAATATCTGTTCTACAGATAAAGCTTTCAGAGAGTCGTGAACATCGGGGCAGTAAATGTCACTGTTCATTGCAGCTTTCTCATGTCGAT